AAATTATTTAGTTTTTAAAAAGTGTTTGCATCTTGTAAAATAGTGAGTCTTATAACACTGTACTGTGGATAAGTCTGGTAGTTGATAACCTAATATATGCATTTTCTTTCCCTCAGTAAATCTGTAGGTATTACAAGTAGACAAAACAAGAAGGTAGAAGAAGAGGAGAAGCTGTTGAAATTGTTCCAGGGGGTTAATAAAGCCCAGGATGGATTCACTCAGTGGTGTGAACAGATGCTTCATGCACTCAACACGGCCAACAACTTAGATGGTAAGAGGTGGGCAGGAATGTGAGAAGCAATATCCAGTTTGTTTCTGACCAGGTAGTTCTGGGGGACTGTAATGATGTCAAAGGACCATTTCGAGTGCAAAATGGCTTCATTAAGAACTGGCTGTGTCATCTTCTCCATGGTTTTCATTGTCCCAGCTACAACGAATCCGTGGGGACTGGAACCAGTTTTAAAGTGCCACCCAGAGCCTGCTGAGGGTTTCTAGTGGTTGTGGAAGCATTAGCAGAGATGAGGATCCAATTTCATCATGGATTGCATGGCAGGGCTTTATTGCACTCTCAGTAGGGAACTTGGAAGGGCAGGCTGTTTGCCATGGCTGCTGGACCAGCAAATCTGTGACACAGAAATCCAAAGGTTGTGTTTCTTGCACGTGTGTGTTTGCATATCAGTGTGCATTCCCTCACACTCTGCCTTCTTCTTGCAGTTCCCACGTTTGTTTCTTTCCTGAAGGAAGTGGAGTCTCCCTACGAGGTCCATGATTACATCAGAGCCTATCTTGGGGACACTCCTGAGGCCAAGGAGTTTGCCAAGCAGTTTCTTGAGCGCCGTGCCAAACAGAAAGCCAGTCAGCAGAGGCAACAGCAGCAACAGCAGGTAAATCCCACTCCCTGCAGTCCTCAGGAGTGTGTGGAGACCTGGAGTCTGGAGAGGCTGCATTCCTGCTGCACTGATGTGGCCAACTGTGGATCAAAGAGTGTCTGACCCAGGACATGCTGTGGAACCATGAGGTGGATGCAGCAGTGCCTGCTGCTGCCACACGGGATGGAGGAAATGCTTTGGGCTCTTTGAATGTTTTCTGTGTAAATAAACCAAACTTAATTGTGCTTTACAGTTTTGTCCTGACTTTGTTTTGTAGGATTCAGTGTGGGGGATGAACCACAGTTCACTACATTCGGTCTTTCAGACCAACCAGAGCAACAACCAGCAATCCAATTTTGAGGCTGTGCAGGGCGGGAAGAAGAAGAAGAAACAGAAGATGGTTCGGGCAGATCCCAGCTTGTTAGGTCAGTCCTCCTCTTCAGAAATTAATGGTCAGTTTGGGAGTGGGAGTTTGCCTTGTGAAGTGTAGAATTCTTATTGATCTTGAATGGCAATACTGAATTTGAGCCAAGTTGAAGCATTTTGTTTCAATACTATTATTATTTAATGATTTGAAAAATTCCATACCAGTCTCATGGAAAGCTTTTGTCAAACTTTCCCTCATGTTAAGGCCTCTTTGATACCTTGATTATTATCTGGAAACCTTTAAGTAGTTCAGGGATGTCAGTTAAACTGCCTTTCCTCTTGTGAGTTGACCTATGCCTATTTTATTGATTTAATGCTAATTCATTCTTTGAAGAAAAGCACATTTTCTGTTCCTTCATGAGGAGCAGCTTCCTGAGGCTGCCTTTATGCCTTCCCACCCTTTTACAGGTGCTGACTACCCTAGGCAGAAAAGATGGCACAGGTGGAATGGTCACAGATTTTCAGTTGGAGGCAGATGATGACATCATTAGCAGTCCTTTATTTATTATGTTCTCTATCTTTAATTTTATGTCTGGATGGTATTAACCAGCTGCTGTGGCACTGATGGAAAGGTTTCTTTAAGATAAAAGGGCATCATATAAGTCCCTGGGCACTGTGGGGTGTAGTTTGTGTAGAATAAACGTGTCCATGTTTGTGCTCTGAGGGACAGAAGGAAACCAGGGCACTGCACTGAGCCAGTGCTTGTGCTGGGCCTTCTTAGCATTATCTGGTGTTATCCACCTGAAGTCACTGCTTTTTTAAGGCTCTGGCAGAGCCCTGCCTTTTTGTCTTTTGTTCTCACCAAAACCAAAACTCTTCACCTGAATCAGTGATTTCTGCATTGATGAACACTGAACTTTTCTGTGGAATCTTGACTTGTACCACCCCAGTGAGTCTGATCTGGGGGCTCAGTTGGATGTATTAGAAAACCAACTCACGTAATGTGAAGTCACTAAATACAAATTAGAAGTTTCAACTGTGAGAGAAGTAGCACATGCAGCTTTTTACAAATGGGTACACTCTTTTACAGAATAATTTCAAATCCTCTTAGGTAACACACTGCCACGAGAGGGAACCAGAGTGATTTTCCTAAACCTACTGAGCAGAGCATTTTTTCTCATCTCTTGAAGACGAGGCTGTGGAAAGCAGTTGGTTCTCTAGCACAGAGCAGCTTATATGGCAGTCTCTAGACAATGAAATGTCAACTTTGTGTTTAGTAAAAACACAGGAACACTTTCTCTTTTCTCATACTCCATATGGGGTTGTTACAGCCGTAAAAATGGGATTTCAGTAGGAAAGTTGCGTACGATATATCGGATATTTTCCTTGTTGAAAGTGTTTTCACTTTTTCTCATGCTTTTCTCACGTGCATCATGTCCTCAGCACTTCATGGCTAAAAGGTTGGGTAGAAATGTGAGTGCATTTGAGCCACCTGCATGGCCCTGTGTAACTTTACATTTTCATGTGGTACTCCAGAGATGGGGATTGTAAAAAAGCATTTCACAGATTTCATAGATGCACGTATTTAGACTTTAAAGTAAGGGGTGGAATTGCTCACACCCCCTGAAGTGTTGGGCATGATTCCACATTTGGATTCCAAGTTCTCAGAAGGTCCATTTCTGCCTCTCAGGCTGTGGCAGGAGGGTGTTGGCAACCACTCCCCAGTACCAGTTGACTTAAACGTGCTCCAGTCCAAGATGTTGCAGAACCTCGTGAGCTCTGGTGTTTCCGATGCACTTGGTCTTGCACTGCTGCTGCACATCCCAGACTTATCCCACCACACACAGCATCCCCCAGCCAGGTGTTTAACCCCAGTCCTTTTTGGTTGCAGGGTTTTCAGTGAATGCCTCCTCAGAGCGGCTCAATATGGGAGAAATAGAGACTTTGGAAGACTACTGAGCATGTGCAAATCAACTGGCTTTTCCTGCATCTGTTAACCATGGATTCTCCGTTTGGACACAGTGCTCTCCACCGTGTGTTGTTCTTCACCTCGCAGTGAATCACAGGATCAATCATCTCAGGCTGCTTCCTCTGGCCCCAGCAAACCCTTTGTGCCCAGGACTGCACAGGCATCGTTCCTCCTGTCAGCCCAGAGTCCCGTGGACGTTGCTCAGAGCCCTGGGAGGGTGGGAGTTAGGATTCCTTCACAACGAGGCTGATTTGGGCAGCGAGCTTTCACTGTGCTGTGATTCCTTCTGCTGACATACCTGGAAAAAAAAAAAATCAATTGGGATTCCGCAAACTATTGCTTCCCTCTCCTGGTTACTCTTACCACGTCCAACATGTGCAGTCCTATGGAGAGAGAGAGAGAGAGTTTGTGGTTAACAGATGTTGGTCAAACCCCAATGCCACAGCTCCTGCCTGGGCTCCCCGGGGCGGGTGCTCTGCCGGGCCAGGAGGGGCATCATAAGCTAACGCAGAACTGGCGACACACGAGAGGGGCGGTGGCGGGCGCAGTTTAGCTTGGGTTGGTTTGAAGTTGCACACCCCCTGCCAGCCCTTCTCAGCACATTATTTTTGGAGGGAAAGCTCGAGTCTGTCTTCATTAGGTGGTGATGCTGGAGCTGCTGGAGTTCCCCGTCGACAAACTCCAGCCTTCCCGGACAAGTGGGGACTTCTGCTCTGGGAAAAAAGGGGGGTGGCATCTCTTCTTTCAGGTTGAATTTACCCCTTACATGCTACCTTCAGAGGGTTAGGACCAGTTTATTTTGAGCTCTTTTCCTGCAAATTTGTCTCGTTTAAGAGACAGTGGGATGTTGGCGTGTGGCTGTGTAGTCTTTGCAGGGGGTGGACGCTGGCTCTCAGCCCCGTGCCCCGGCAGGCTCAGCTGGTTGTCATTTCAGTGCTTAGGGAACGAGCAGAGATGCCCTTTCGTCGTGAGGAGAGACACTGGAGGATGAAGCTTTGTGCAATGACGGCCCTGCTTATCTTCTACACCTTAAACTACTTCATGCACCTTCACTGGGATCCATAATCTGAGTATTTATGGAGTCATAACCTTCCTCTCTCACCGAAAGATTAACACCACCTTCCCTGCTCCACCTGCCCACCCACCCACATGCACACACCGCAAAGAAAGAGAAGAACTGCCAAATGCACTTAGTTTGACCCCCTGGTCCCATCTCCCGTCCCCAGAGGGTTGTAACCTGCGAGGGAGATCCGCTGCAGTTTTGGTGGAGTTGTGTAAAGGTGTCTGTTGTTCTGTCATCACTGCCTAAAGAAAACAGTTCGAGTTGCTCAAGAGCAGTTTGGCTTTGGATTTTATTTCATTTGGTTTATTCATTTTTTGGGGTCACCTTCCCCTCCTCCTCTCTCTTCCCCCTGCCCCCAAACATGTACAGTAACTATACAGAGACTGCTGCAGACTTGTATATAGTTTTTGGATCCAATAGCATGGAGAGACTTGGAACTGTTGCAAATCTGGTCTCCCTGTCTCCTTTGCTTTGTAAATTCATAAAAGGGGGAAGAGGGGTAGTTAAAATGTTTACAAAACTTTAAACTCCCTCTGAACTTTTGCCAGTGTGGGGGGGAAAAAGAGAGAACTTAAATAAAACCTGGTTGTATTATATCTGAGAGAAAACTTTCTGCTTGCTTTTGTCAAAGCCGAGTTTTGAGATAATTCCTGGTGCTAAAACTCACCCCAAACTCGACTCGCATCAGTTTTCATCAAGAAACAACAAGCAAATCCACAGGATGTGGAACAACAACTGCTGCTTTATTTTTTCCCTGGTGAGGAATACCGGTGGGTTTTTCTGCTTGATAATTTTAGAGTTCAAATAAACACCAGTAAGTTGAGATTGGAAACAAGAAAGCTTTAATTCCCCCCCCACACCCTGTAGAGAAACACATGAATTCGTGCTCGTGTTGTTTGTGCAGGGGAGATCAAGCCGTGGCTGGTTCTCTCTCACCCCACCCACCCCAGTTCACTGCTGTCAATGAGAGGTTTGATTCCTCCCCTCAGCCCAAAGTCCACACAGACACCTTGTAGGTTTCCCTTTTCAGACTTAATTTTCCTTTTTTTCTACTTGCTGCTTATTTTTATGTGGAAAATCCCAGTAAAAGGTAATGATAAATGTTCTCCTGCCATTCATATGACCACAAAAAGTAAGTGTGCTAAGGCCCAAATTACACAGTGCCTTGCATGATGTTTAGCTGATGTCTCAGAGAGAACAGGATGTGTTTAGGCTGATAACCTGACTTTGTTTTAATATCTTCTCTTTTTTTTAGCATATGAGGTGTCTGGTTAATAAGTGCTTTCTGTTTTTTAATGGTATGATCTAATTTCTACAATCCAGTTTTGGACTGCTCTCTACCATGTAACAAATACACAAAAGCCCATTAATTTCCAGCTCAGGTGGGGGGCAGGGAAGGAGCAGCTCCTTGATTGCTACATGAAAATGCAGAAATGCAAGCAGGGGAAATGTGCAACAGACCCTGAGGGTCTCACTCAACCTCTCAGAGTGTGTCAGTAATGGACCAGTGGGGAAGATCTTGTTCTTTGTACTGAAATGTGCTGGTTTCTGTGTTTGGTACAAAGGGGAGGTGCTGGCGTGTGCAGGTTGTGTGCTCAGGTGACTGCCTTGTCACCTCCTGTGACAAACACAGGGCCTGTTTCTGTAGCAAGAGTTGTTTGGATCAGTAGGAATGGGAAAAACAGGAGCTGTAGCATTTTACCTGCTGCTGGCTGTATTTCCGTGCTTTGAGCGCCTTTGCAGACAGAACCTGCTGGGGCTTTGCCCCAGGTTTGACAGATGATGTTGAATTCCATGCTGGAGGTGTCTGAGGTCTCTTTGGAGCACGATTCCCCAGGTAGCTGCCTCACTCCTTGTTTCACTGCAGGGACAGGACTCTGTTCTCTCTGGTTTTGCTGCTTCTCCTCTCAGCCAGGCACTTCTTGCACAGGCGTGCAGCAAGCAGTGATCTAAAGGGGCACCTAAACTGTGTCTGGCTGCCTGTCAGAGAAAGCCAAAAAGCAAAGAGATCTCTTAGCAGAAAAATCTGTATCTGAAATTTAACCCAAAAATACTTGTGTCATATTTTCAGAGCATAAAGTACTGACATTGGGAGTGTTTGTGTACTTCATTACTTGAAGGGAAAACATGAAGTATTTGATCCCCACAGTTTAAAAAATCCTAATGAAATTCTTCTGTGACAGTCAGCTGGAGTGTTCCCCTTTTTATACACTTCATCCTTCCCCCAGTCTCTGTTGGTGCAAATGTGATTTGAAACAAGCCTGTTTTCTGTGCTGTGACCTTCCCACGAGCCCCCAGGCGGGCAGGGCCGATGGCAGAGCTGGCAGGAGTGGTGTCTGTGCACTTGGGATCCCAGGAGGATGCTGGCCCTGCCCTCCGGAGCCGACTCTCCTGCAGGACTTCCCAGCCTTTACTGGGCAGCGAAGACCACCCACGGCTCCCAGTCCAGCTCTGTAAGTATTCCACCCAGAAATGGTGCCATGGGGCTGCTCTGGCTCTCTCACAGCATTTTAGCTCTGATTGAGGCCCTTGTTCTTTGCTGTGCCCACCCTGAAGTACCTGCACGCCCTGCAGAGCGAGGGCAGAGCCCTCAGAGCCCAGGGTGCGGGGTTTGGGGTGAGCTGCCCCAATGGCTCCTGTGTTATCCTCCTGCCGAGGGAAGGCATTCCAGGAGCATCCCCGTGGCCTCCGGGAAGGGCTCACCAACAACTGCTCTGTGTGCACTGGCCTGGCAGGGTGAGCTGCCTGAGGCTGGGCTGCTCTGGGCTTCTCAGCACAAGTTTGGGAGGGTGGAGCTGCCTTCGGGAGGAGCTGTGCTCCTGGAGCCAGAGCGAGGGAGGCTCTGCTGGGCTTTGCACTCTCTACACACTTGCTGTTGTGAAGGGAATTATTTTTTTTTTTACCTTTCTGGACAAGATTTTTATTACAGCAGTGACATTTCCACGTTGTTTCGTACTTTGAAGAGTTTAAAGGATTCCTGCCGGCGCTGTTCCTGAGGGAAGCCATGCCCTGCCACAGAGCCCTTCGCCTGTTCCTGCTGACACTGTGTGCCATCCTGGTCCCTGCTGTGCTGGCAGGTAAGGAGCTTTGTTTGCATGTAAAGCCCAAAAGCGTGGAAGATCCTTTACTATGCTGCCTCTCTCTCCTCTCACTTCCCTGAAAACATCTATAAGTATGTGTTGAATTATAATTGATTAATGGAAACCAGCTTTGGAATTGGTGGCTGGTGGTGAGTAAGATTATATTTTCCATCCCAAAAACCAAGTTTCTGTTGGGGAAAATGGAGAAAATTCTTTGTAACTTTTCCTCAGCAGAACAGCAGTAGCACATATGTGAGTGTAGGTGGCTGGAGATCAGTGGTCACATCAGTCACAGGAGATGGAAAACCTCCCAGCAGCTGAGGGGACAGGCTGTTCCTCAGCTTTTAATGGCAGGAAGAAGTTACAGTTGTGAAAAGAAATGGGTTTTGGGGCCAAAGCCTGTGGGGCAATTCCTGATTCCTTCTGTGCTCTGCTACAGCGGGAACTCCCCAACAGCTGCTGCTGGCAGAAATAGGGAAGTGTCCCTGAAAACCTCCATCCAGAGCCAAACTCTGCATCCTCAGGGGGTCTGTGCAGAGCTGGGGGTCCCAAGGCAGTGCTGGGAAGGCTCTGCCCCATGTTCAGTGAGGGGATGGGAATCAGAACAGGTGAGGTGCCTGCTCTGTAAGGCACCGTTTTTGAGGGAATCATCAGTAATTTCAGCCCTACCTGCCCTGCCCTTGGCACCCTGTGCTGGCCCCAGGGAGCACAGGCACCTCCAGGCTGCAGGGCTCAGGTGGGTTTTACAGGGGAGGGAAAACTGGCTTCCAAACCCGCTGTGTTGATGGGCTCTGAGCGTAGAGGTGGAAACTCCTGTGGGGAACTGCTTCCCTCAAAGCCTTTTATTCAGTGGAGGTGAGGCTGTGAAGGGATGGCTGGGGCCAGGAAAACAGGCAGGAGCACAGCATTTGTTTTCCTGAATTCCTGTCCTACCTCCCTAGACCTGGAGCAAGGCTGGTTTGCAGTTCCCCCCCAGTTTGTTCCGAGCATCTTGCCTAGGAGGGAGATCCTGGCCAGCTGTTTAGCAGATGAAATTATGAAATTGCTTCTTTTTAAAGGGGCTTTCATAGGGGTTGGAGAATTCAATGCTGTGCCTGGCTGGAACAGCTGTGAGTTCAGGAACAGAATTCCTGCAGCTGGTATCCTCCCTGTGGAGGACACCTTCCTGCTGGGAAACTTTTAAATAAATAAGAAATGAGCACTAAAAAGTGCATACTTTCCTTCTCAAACCCTCAGCCTTTTTTGTACAGTGGAACATTAATCACTTTAGCACAGTTTCAGTTTGTGCCTTGCTCTTGCTCCCAGGAGCAGTGACCGTGCTCCTGCCCTGCGCCAGGTAAGATCTTTCTTCATCATTAACAGTATTTCACTCTGCAGGAAGTGATTCATTTCCAGTGAGAATTCAGTCTGTTTCCTCTCTGAGCTGGGATTTCTTCTGTGGTGTTTAAATTTCCAGTATTTGGTGCGTATTTGCTCTGCCTCCCTCTGTGCCAGCTTTCCTGTGGGCCTGCTCTGGCATTGCCCTGTCACTGCCTCCCTGTCTCACTTTGCTCCCGTGAGATACTCCCAGGTTTATTGATTCCTTTGCTGGCTGAGTTGTGCTCGTGCAGCAAGGCCAGTACTCTTGAAGGGCTTTGTGCTGGTGAATGCAACGTTCAGATCCTGGTGTGCAGGACAGACTTCCTGCTTTCTCTGCTTAAGGCCTCTATCAAGTTGTTCCCTGCTCCCTCAAAGAGGACAAGAGGGAACCAGCGTGTATGGAAGCCATCCCAGGAGCAGAATGACTCTGCATTAGGCATCGAGAGTTCCTGCCCCAGTACAGGAGCTTTTAGCACACAGTGGAATTTTTTCTGCCTTTTACTCCATTAGAAAAGGAAATTTCCTGCCTGGTGCAGACAAAGAGGGGAAGGGCACAGACAGCCCTCTGGTCTGAGCACATCCACACGTGGCCCTGCCTCTCTGTAAACAAGTTTACTCCCCGTTCCTCAGGACCGCAGCGCTCCTGTTGCTCCGTGTGCTCCACACCGGAGCTGTGGCACTCGCCCGGCACAGATGCCCTTTGTGCTCCCGGTGAAGGCCTCTTTTCATCCTGCCCTGGCCCTGTGCCACCACGGCCACCTGGGGCTGGACAGCCCGGTGCTGTCCTCAGAGTTCACCAGCCCTGCCCTCCCATCCCAGCACCTCTGAGTGCTCAGCAGAGCCCTCCCCGGGGCCGGGGCAGGGGCTGCCCTGGACAGGCTGCACCTGTGCCACCACTCTGTCAGCAAACCCAGGTTCAATTCCTGTAATAGATTCAGAGCTCCGAGTGAAGTGGAAGTGAGTAAAAAGCCTTTGCAAGGTGTGGGCTTCTGAATCGTGTACGTATTTGCTATCTAAATTCACCTAAGGGCTCGTGAGTTTCTTTGGTTTGAGCTGGTGTGGAAATGTGTTGTACTGTGGTGGCACATCAGAAGGAGTTTGAGGGGAAAAGCAGCAGGGCAGATGTGCTGAAGGAAAATATACAGGACACCACCTTGACTGGGGACATCTCTGTAGCAGCTCATGTGTCCTCATTCTCAACTATAGGAGACTAAAAGATGATTAGGAAGTTTTTAAAGCTCAAGTACTAGAACATGAGAAGCAGTAAATGGGTTTTGTCAGGGAAATTTGTGGAGAAGATGTGGTTCAGACTTACAGCAGGACTTTGTGGGCCGTTACTCAGCCTTGCTCTGTACCAACACTCCTCATAAATTACTGACGCTGCTCCTGACTCCTGGCTGAGGTTGCTGGGTTGGAAGTGGGGAGTGAAGATGACAAGGGGCTGAAACCAGCTTGGGTGAGGAAGAGTATTGGTCACTGGTGAGGGATCTCGGGGATGAAGATGTGAAGTGGCCACATCTGCCAGCCCTGAGGTCTCACAGTCTGCCTGTCTGGGAGGGTCTGGCTCCATCACATTTGGTTGGCTTCCTCAAGACCTGTCACTTGTGGAGACTCTTCCAGTCTTACCTTTGTCACTGAGTACCTGGGGCACTGGCCACCATGTCACTGTGCTGGCAGCTCACCTCACCACCTTCTCTCTGAGCATGGAAACAGCAGTTTTGTCAGGTTGCTCTTGGTGTCATCCTCTCAGGATCTCTCTACAGCCCACGTGGCTGGAGTCCCCCTGGATCCCTGCATCCTTGGAAAACTTATGGTGGATTTCTTTACAGAAACTCTGAGATTTTCTTCCCTTTTCCTGATCTCAGTTGTAACTAACCTGTGCTGGAGAGGGGGAGAGGACATAGTGCAGCAGAGAGATTTCCCTAAAATAAGGCAATTTGTAGTGTCAGTGTGTGGGAAGGTAGAACTGCCATCATCCACCTGGCATGCTGGAATACTTTAGTATAGTTTTTAGTATAGTATTAGTATTCCAGTAATTCCAGTATTACTTTTAGTCCATTTTGTCCATTTGTGACAGGACTGGTCCCAAGACTGATGCCAGCACAGCTAATGCATGGCTCTCACCCAGATGTTAAACATCTGGTCTTGTGTTGTAGGATGTATTTTGAGCATGTTTCTTGCTAGTTCTTTGTAGAAATAAAGTTCTTGGGTGTGCAGGAAAGCCATGTGCTACCTTGCCTTCCATATCTGGTTTCCAACTCTTGGCTGCACCCCTTCACTGGAGATGGCAACGTGTTTGGGTGTTTTCACACGTGAGAAATGCTGCTCCCTGCCTCCAGAGCTGTGGAACTGCCCTGTAAATTCCTCTTTCCCTGTGAAGGGCTTCTGCTGGGTTGGAGCTGTCCTGGAGGTGTTTGCTCAGTCACAGACATGTCCCCCTGGTCACCCTCAGGGTGACAGTAACTGTGTGGGTGCTCAGGCCTGGCTGCACTGGTGCTGCTTTCCCTGTAGATGCTGTTTAGAATCCTGGTCTCCTGCTTGTGCACAGAGAAACTGAGCCCAGGAGGGGGAGAGGAACTTGTGGTGGTCCCCCAGAACACGGGCAGCAGGCAGAGAACTGAACTTCCTCACTTGGGTCCTACACCTGTACGTAGAGCCTGCCCAGCCTCCATCCAACAGGTGACCAGAAGAGGCCCTCATTTCTCACTTGGAGACATGTGAGATCTTATTAAATGTGTGTGTTGGGTTTTGGCACCTGACACAAGCTCTGTCCTTCTCCCTTGCTTTTCCCAGAGGACTGGAGAGGGAGTGTGGTATTTACTGTGGCTCTGTTAGAGACCTGCTGGTGGCAGCAGGGCTGACACTCACTGGGGCTGTCGGGGAGATGATGTGACACCTCTGCTTGGTAAAGAAACCTGCTGGATGTGAGAGGGTGGTTGGATGGGTGCTTGGACTTCTCAGCCACGCAGGAGTGGAGGCACATGAGGACATGAGCTGTTGGTTTGGGAGGGAAGATCAGAGGTGAGCCATGGAAAAAGTGCTGGCCACGAGCAGGGGCTCTGCCAGGCTGCAGCAGTCAGCTCTGCAGGGGCCTGGCTGCTGGCAGTGTTCTCTAGGGGTGGGTTTTGTGTCCCCCCACCCGCTGTGCCGGTGGCAGGGCTCTGCACCTTGCTCCAGCAGCAGTGAGGGGAAGGAATGAGGAGGGGACCAGCCCTGGCTCCTGTGACATTCACTTGTTGGTGTTTGACTTCGTGCCTGTGCACGACTCTGCTGCTGCCTCTGAGCTGACAACCCTGTTTGTGAGGCACCAGAGCCGACTGAAAGGGGTTGTGTTTCCCTCGGCTGAAGCGCCGTTAAGGTAAAACCACAAGAACTCGGACAGAAAACGTGTGGTTGGCACACTCTGCCCCCTCTGTGCGGGTGAACTGAAAGCATCAGATGAGGGGAGTTAACCAAATATATACCCAGCAGCATCCAGGTCTTGAAAAAATCACAGAGATCATAAACAAACAAAAAAACCCCTGTTTCCTCTGTACTTGGCTATCAAAAATAAGCTCTGTGCCCTGCTTAAAGAGAGCTGCAGTAGATTTTTCAGGAATTAAATGCATTCTAGGAGGGGACAGGAGAGACTTTCTGGGACCTGTGGGTCTGGTTAGATAAAGAACCTTTGCACTCTGGCTGGAAGGGGTACTGCTCCCTCCTTACCCCTTTGAGAGTTGGGAAGACCCTGTCCAGGTCCTACAGCCCCCCTGGGTGGTGCTGCATCTGTTACAGATCATCGCAGCTCACGCCTGTCCCTGGGCAGACGTGAGGGCCATGCCCAGCTCTGGAGAGAAAAAACATTCTTGGGAAAGGCAGCAATGCCGTCCTCCCAGCACAGTGTTCCTCTTCCAGCTGGGGACAGTGGCAGTGCTGGTGCTGGCCCCAGGGTTGTTGACACAGTCAGCAAGGTCATAGCTGGAGTGTGGCTCTTCTGGGTGGGGTTTCTCCCCTTGCAAAAGCAGCCTGGAACGAGGGCTTCAAAACTGTTCCTTACGTTTGGCCTGTTCCTAAACCAACAGCTTCTCCACGCCACTGTTGACAACTAATTAGCCCAGCTCTGCTCATTTCCTCTCCCTGTTGTTTTAACTACCTTTACTCACTGAATTCTGTATTTCCTCCTGCTCTGTCCTCTGGTAGTGAACCACAGGATTTATAGAAGAGAGCTCCACTGGAAATGACACTTTCTGGAAGAGCCTCTGGATGGGATGTGAGTCTTCAGCTCTGCTGGTTGGTTTTGCAGCACAGGTTGGGAAGGGCCCTGCAAAGGGCTCAGGTGTTTCTGGGGAGCCCTGGTGGAACACAAAGCTCTGTGCTTGTCTGGGGGAGCCGAGCTCACCCCTCTGGTGCAGTGAGCACGGGTGTACCGGGTGTGTGAGGACACGGTATCGGCGCTGCACCTGCTCCTCCCCGGCGGGACAGCCAACCTGGGTGTGCTGGGGTCCCTGCCTGGCCCAGCTGGCACAGCCCACATGCTGGGACTTACTTGTCTCTCTCTGTGCTCAGTGGGCCAGAGTTAAACCTGGTAGCTGCCTCACTGAACATCCTGTAGGTTTTCTGGCTGTAGAAAGGGCTTTCACAACTAGTTTAGAACATTGTTTTGTCCCCGAGACTGTGGGCAGCCTGGAATAGCTCTGGGGATGGTGGGAGCTACTCTCTGAGGCAAGCCCTGAAGTAATTTCTCAGTTGGTTTGTCCAGACAGAAAAGGGGAGTGTTTTGGTGCCCCTGTTCCTTTGGATGTGGGGCTCCTACAGGAGAACAGTGTGTGGTGGAGCCCATTAATGACAATTGTTCCTGCTCTGCTGGAGGCAAGGAGGGCTCGAGGTACTGAGACATCAGGCTGGCACTGCCAGGATGTGCTGCTGCCACCTCTCTTTCCAGGCCATAGAGCCTGGGACACCAAGGGTTCACATGCCAGAGCCAGGGTACCTTGCCCCAGGGAGCCTGGGTTGCTTGCTCCAGCTCCTCTGACTGCCTGTCCTAGTTGTGACAACCACTGTGTCAGTTCAGGTGGGCCCTGGCTCTGGATGTTCGTTTCCCACACACACAGCTTTTTTTCCCCATCCCAGTGCAACATTCCCAGCGGTTTCAGCAGGGAGCTGTGGAATGTCTCCTGCTCCCGCCAGGGCCCATCCGAACAAGCTGGGCATTGACAGGCAGCGCTGGGCTGAGCCACACACAGACAGGGAGGGCTCTGCCTTGGGCCCTGACCCACGGGGGGAAGGAATAACAGGAGACCGGTGGTAACATCAGAGCCTGGCCTGGCTTTCATCTCCCTGGCACGGGGGAGGTGTGGGAGAGGGAAGTTGAGGCTCTGGGGTCCTGTCTGGGGGAGCCGTGTCCTGCACTGTGCCAGCACCTCTGGCATCCTGCACTGCACGGACTGGGAGTGCAGGACAGAAAGGCCCTGAAATGCTGGGAATTTGGCCAGCACAGGTAGCCAGGTGGCCTCTGCCTGTTGCAGACATGTGCCAGCCCCTCCCAGCCCAGTCCTACGGGTATCCACGAGCAAAACAGCTGTGGGTGTTCACAGGGCCTGTTTGTGCATGAGCAGAGGTTGCACAGTCCGGGGAGCTCCCTGTTGTCCCGTGTGTGCTGTGTGTACACCAGAGTGCCCCAAAAGCCTGTGGCATTGGCATCACCCTGGGGCTGCTCTGGGTGTGGGTGTTGAGTGGAGGTGGTGCCCTCTGTGGGGAGGGCTGTGCCCCACTGGGTTTCTCAGCCCTCAGGTCACCCCTGCACCCACCCTAGGGGCACCTGGCAGGCAGCTGGAGCCCAGGGACCTGCTGAGCTGTGCTTGTCACCAGCAGCCTGCCTTGGCCCCCATGCCCATGGGTGCTTGTGTCCCAGCAGAGTACCCACAGGGCCCGGTCCCCACCCTGTGGAACGAGCCACCTGAGCTGCCCTCCGGAGCCGGTCCCTTCGACGCTGCCACCACCACAGCGCGGCTGTCGGACGCCACCGCCTTCCCCCTGTACACCTCTGAGCTGGAGCCCGAGGACACCACCCACCTGCACCGACTGGACACCGGGGACGGTACGTGGCTGCACCACGGGCCACCTGCAGCTCACCCCTACAGGGCCTGGGGTGTCACTGTGCATTGGCTCTCTGGGGCCTGTCACCTCCCAGGAGGTGCTGAAGCCACCAGAGGTGGCCTGTCCCCAGCCACACTGCTAGGGAGGGGAAGGGCTGCCTGTACCTCCTGCTCAGGGGAACTTCCCCGCTGAAGAGCCTCCACTGTGGAGCACTGGCCAGCCCCAGAGCTGCTCCAAGACCTTTCCTCTTGCCCCCAGTCTGACCTGTCATGGCAGGCACCTGCAGAAAGTGGTCTGAGCATGGGCAGGGCTCTCCAGAGCAGAATGTGCCTGGAGCTCCCTAAACAGGGAGTGAGCACCTTTCCCGGATCCTGACTGACAGCAAGCACCTCTTTGGATGCAGTTTTGCCACAGGCAAAGCAACTCTAAGTCTGGGTGTTAACAGGAAAGCTCAGTGCCACAGACCTGCTTTGTGGTAGCTGTCCCTGGGACCTGGCTGAGGTGGCAGTGGCTGGCTACAGCCCCTGTCCAAAGGTGCAGTGCTGCTGGAGCACAGGACCACACCTCAGCTGTCTGGGGACATGGGACATCTACCATGGCCAGTGCCTGAGCTCCAGGGCAGGAGTGTGACCCGATGGCTGGGGACATGCTGGGTGTGGGGTGATCCCTGCAGCCCTTCCCACCTGGGACCCCCTGGCTCTGCTGACCTCACACCTTGTTTTCTGTCCCTGCAGGCTCACTGGGGCCTGGAGCTATCGGTGCCATTGTCATTGCTTCCCTCCTGGGGACGTCTGTGCTTGTGGCGTTGGTCATCATCACGCTGAGAAAGTTCTCGGCCTCCTGAACTCAATAAAAGATTTTTCTGTTACACAACCAGCCTGTCTTCAGCTCTTGCCTGCTGCTGCCCTGTGTGCCTGGGGCCCTGGAAAAATGCTGCACTCCAGGCCCTCTGCTGAGCAGCCAGGTTGCACCTGAGTGCTGTTTGCTCTTAGTGTGCGCGTCTCCTGGGTGCACCCAGACCTGGCAGACTTCACCACCCCAGGCCCTGTCACCCCCCGGTCACAAAGGACTTGTGGCAGTGTGTGGCTTTGAGCTCAGAGCTCAAAGGGGCCCTGCTGGGTCTAGCCTGGGTGATGGTAACAGTGTGGGGCATCCCTCAGCACAGCTTTCCTCGGGAAGAGTTGTTTATTGGCATAAACCACCGCACATTCATGTGTTCAACCCCACTTCCACCCACTGCATTTGGGCCAGTTGCTCCCCACCTATTGCCCTGGAGGAGACTGAGAGGAGGCGAGTGATCAGTGCAGGGGAGGAAGGAGACACACAGAAGCTGTTTTGGCACTGGCTTGCTCAGCTACATTTCATCACACGGTAAAACGAGACAACAAGAAGTTCCCCTCAGTTCGCTGAGGCAGCCTGGCAGGGGCCAGGGGGCTCCAGCCCCTGCTTGTGGGCCGCAGGCCTGGCCCTGGACAACACTGGAGACCACTGAAACGGGGGCGTGCAGGGCTGGGGCTGAGGAAGTAACACTGGATGCACTTGGTGCCTGAAAACGGCACAGCCTGTGTCCGGGGTCTGGAGTCCTGGAGTCACAACAGAGCAGGAGGGGCTGGAGCGGTCCCAGGGCTTGGCCGTGGGACAGGGCACAGCAGCCCCACTCCCTGGAGAAATCCAGTGAGGACCTGCTGTCCTGGCACTGGGGAACTAGTGAAACAGCTGCTTCTCATCGATGGGTAATCCAGCTTTTGTGTCCTGTGAGAAACACCCCAGGCAGGTATGTTGGGCTGCAGTGCCTCGGCTGGCCTGGCTGCTGGGCTGCAAAGCTGGAGGATCTGCATTGTGGCAACTTCTCAGGTAATTTTAACAGCTTCCTCGAGCTGAAACTCCCTGGGGGTTTGCACTAGTAAATTTGTGGCTGCTGCAAGGTCTGGACCCTGAGCCGGAGGTTTGGTTGTCTCAGAAAGCTGACTGCGGGGTGCTGATGGGGAGCCTGGCTTGGGGTGTCCCCATTAAATCAGCCCCCTGCTCCAGACTAGAGGCTGCAGGTCCTTCCTGGCCCCAGCTCTGGGCTGGGCTCTGGATGGTGTGAGCTGCCCAGGGACCTCTGCCAGGGGTGCCACAGGTGGCTGGGGCAGCACAAAGCACAGCCCTGCTGGCTGTGATCACATGCTAAGGTGGTGGCACTGAGCCGGACCTGAGCAGCCAAAGCCTTCTCTCTCTCTTCACTGCTGTGGCTTCCCCCACTTTGGTCCTGGGGACTGGCTCTGAGCTGGCTGTACCAGGGCTGTGGTGACAGTAGAGGCAGCCCCAAGGACAGCCCTGGCCCCCCCTCAGCTGTGTCTGGCCTCATGCTGCACACCCCATGTGTAATCTGGGCCCCATATGGTTCAAAGACCAGCTCAGGATCCTCCCTTCAGCAGCTTCCCAGCATCCTGCTTCCTCCTCACGCTGCTGCTGGCACGGTGGTGCCTCTCCCCTCCGTGCAGGTGGCTGGTATGTGGCTCCATGGGCAAGCAGCTGCTCTCCATCCCCTCCCCGAGCACAACCGTGGCACTGCCAGAGCATCCACCAGCACAGGCCACAGTGTCTGGAAGACAGTCCTTTGCAGAGTTCCAGAACAGTCCCAAATACTTGATTTTCCCAGTGGATGCTGGCCACAGCTTGGGACCAGCCTGCAGCTCCAAGGCCCTCGACTGCAGCCGTGTGTGGGAGCTGAACAGCAGGCAGGGGCTGTGGGTCTGTCCTGTGCCCCGGCTCCCCTCAGCGCTGTGCCCTGGGCTTCATGCGGTGCTCAGTGCCACAGCTGGCAGGAGGGATGGCTGTGCTGGGGCAGGGGTTGGGTGTGCACATGGAGGGGGGCCTGTACAGCGGGGCTGGGGGTTACAAGCATGCAGGCAGCGATGGCTGGGCCTCCCACAGCTCGTGGGACAGCAGCTCCCGGGTCAGGGCACTCCCTGCTGCGGGGCAGCCCAGCGTGCTGTGCTCCCATGGGCTGTGGTGCTGTGCAGGGAGGCGCTGGCATGGCCACCCTGTGCGGGCCTTGCAGGGAGCAGCAAAGACCACGAGTGCCAGGTCACTGGGAAAGGCCACGGTGGCTGGGCTTCTGCGGGGACCCTGCAGAGGGAGGCAGGCTGGGCAATGGGCTGAGCCTCGGGGCAGGGCCCAAGCGTGCTTCCAGGCCATCAGGCAGGTAGAGATGTAGGTTGGGGCTGGCAAGGCTGGGCTGCTGGTGGAGCAGGGCTGGGTGTGGAAGCAGATTGAGGGTCTGCCTGTGGGAATAGGCACAGCAGCTTCTCAGTAGGAGGGGAAGTGGAGGTCCTGGAGCTTGTCCCAGCTTGTTGCCAACAGGCTCTGAGAGGCAGCGAGACAGCTCCTTGGCTGCAGTTCCTACCCCTGAGGGAGGCTGTGTCCAGAGCACCCCAGACTCAGAAGGGAGCAATGAGCTATGAGTGCTCACACTGGGTGACGTCAATTGCTCAGTGATGTTGGTGGCCACATGCCTTTCCCAAATGGCCTGAGCCAGCCCCAGCCAGCACATGTGCAACAAATGGGGCTTAGCTGGCCTTCGGGCAGTGTCCATGGGGCTCATGCTCTTTGGGACTTTACAGAACACCTGGAAAAGGGTTATTTTACAGTTTAGAGTACTGATCTCTAGGAAAGGATCAGTGCTGGGGGGGCCCAGGAACGACAGTCAGGTTGTTCACGGGTGTTTGTGCCTTGTCCGGTGCAGCAGGTCCTCCACCATGTCCCACAGGTGCCACCTCTTCCCAGCTGGCAGCCTCTGTCTCCTGCCCCTCTCCCAGAGGCAGTCCAGATGCTCGGGAATGCTGTCAGTCACTGGCGGTTTCTGCTGCCCAGTTTCCTTCTCTGACTGTCATCTGACTTGTGCACCCGGAAACACTCCTTCAGGTTCTGGGCTCGGATTTTGGGGTTCAGGATCTCTTCCCCAATAGAACTGGGGAACCAGCCCCTCTCCTGGTCGTGAAGACGCTCCCCAAATATCCAGCCTGAGCAGAGACAGAGATGGGTGTAAGCACAGGAGGCCCTCGCTCCTGCACTGGGACAGCTGTGCTGCAAAGAGCCTACGGAGCTGACAGAGCTTTCTGGAAGTTGCTCAGAGGCCTGTGCTGGAGCAGACCCAGTCTGTCCATCAGCAGAGATGTGCCTGAGCAGCACTGTGTGTGGACAACTGGCTTGAGGGATGCCAGCAGAAAGCAGGCACTGCTGCCACTGAGTGCCCACAGGAGTGGTTCCCAGTAGAGACCCAACATGACAGACCACCAGCTACAAGGGTGTTCCAGAGAGCAGGACTGCAAAGCATCATGAAGGTAAGAACAGCTCTGGGATAAATCTGGGGTGGCTGTGCCAGCCCTACCATGGCCCACAGCTGGTGCCAGGGTGGCTGTGCCAGTATTGCCACAGCTTAGGGCAAGCCTAGATTGTCTGAGTGTTAGGAGAAGGCAGTAACCTCCCTCACCTGTAATGCCAATGCCAAAGTCTCTCTCTGGCTGAAGAGAGAGACTCACAGCTGCCTGCCCAGAGCAAAGCCCAGCCCTCCACAGGGACTCCCAGCTCATCCCCACCCCATCCCTCGTACCATCGTCTGTCTTGTCCAGGATGTTGAGGACATCAGCCAGTTCCAGGGACAGCTCATCGGGCTGCTGGGCCACATACGGGTGGACACACTGGATCTGTGGGCAGTCTGCCAGGGAACAGGGCACAGTGAGGGATGATTGGGGTGAAGCCCACGGCAGGACAGCACAGCTCAGGGGGTGCTGTCCCCCAGCTCTGCGCACGGTCCCTCTGACCTGGTAAGGAACCCTGGGGAGGCCAGAGGGTGCCCCAGGGACCAGTGGAGCAGCTCTGTGGGAAGGGAGCTGGGTGCACATCACCACCACAGTGAGCAGCCTGGGTGGTAGGGAGAGTGCTGGTGCAGCCCAGTCTGGGTTGGAGGGGGGCAAGGTCAGGGCCAGGCCTAGAGACAAGCAGGTATTGATGGTGGAAACACAAGGGGAGCCCAGGGAGAGGGTTCAACTTTGGCAGAGGCCTCAGGTATGTTGCTGGACTGAGATCAGGCAGAATAAGGCACCCTGGGGTAGGGGTGAAGAGCTCCTGGCTCCCATGCCGTGTCTCTTACCAACAAGTCTGGATGTAAATGAAACAAACTTGGTTCTCCGGTTTGGGGCCAGTGAAATCATCCAGCGTTTCATTTCACTCCTGGATAGGGCAAACAAACCAAGGCCGTGAGCATGCAACAGTTGTAGGGCCTCCAGCTCTTCTGCCCAGCCAGCTCTGGGCTCTGAATTCCTCCTCCCAGCCTTTTCCCGCCTGCCCCTCAGGGGTCCTGGACTCAGCGGTGATGCTGAGCCCCACTCTTGCACACCCTTGTTGGGATGTCACACATGGCACAGTGCTCTGGGCCCCGCTGCACAGCCCTGGCTGTCCCCACAGGCAGCAGTGTCCCCCTGTGGGGAGCAGCACTGCTGCTGGGAGCCAGCACAGTGGGGTGGGGGCTTGGTGTTCTCTGAGATCTAACAAGCAAAGGCAGCTCTGGCTGGGCTGGTCAACAGGGGCAGTTTTTCCTGGAGATAAGCAGGACAGGAACCATTTATTCCCGCAGCTGCTGTGCAGGAACATTTAAAGGGCAGAGCTGATTAATCCCCTTGCAGACAAACGCTGCAGCACACCAAGAGTACTGCTCACTCTGCAGGGGATGAGACAGACCCATGTGAATGCACCACCAGACCCAGCACACTGCAAAACCTTGCTCTGCAGCAGGAGGGTAAGATCTCACAGATGCTAGAGAAACCCCTCAAGGCTTCCCTCAGCCCCACTTGGAAATGGGGCACTTTGTTTTCACAGGCTCCAGC